GTCCTTGGAATCGCTGCTCAAGTGGCCGTTTATGCGCTTCTTCGTAGCCAGTCTAGCTCGCTGCTGTCTCCTAAGTTGGCGACAGGTGCGTTCAAGCTCCAGATCCAACGGCAGTAAACCTCCTGACTGGCTACGGGTCATGCACTACATGCACACAGTCAAGCAGCAAACCCGTGAAGACACAGGTGTGACAAGCAAACAAACAATGCTAAAAGGAAAAGCTAAATTAACAGAAACCACGTTACTTCAACAACCTAGCCATCCCCGGCAACGGTGCCAAAAACTTGACTCTCTCCAACCGTCACTCTAGAAAATGGCCAAGTGTAACCACCTCCTAAAGCGTAGTATAGCGGGTTTGGGTTTTAATGTCAACCCGGGTCCTAAGTGTGATGACTACTCCGTGAGTTCTTATTATCTAGCAGTGAAAGTGTAGTGAAGATCCAAACAAGCAAAGCAGTTAAAAGGTTGTTTTCAAGTCGAGAGAGGTCACCCGGATATGGTTCCCCCTAGACTGTAGTTAAGCCAGATTATAATTTACCAAGTTCAAGTTCAATGATAGTTATACTGCGGGAGGTTCTTAAACAGTCTGCAGTCTAGACTAAAGGTCTCCAGACCCTCTCAATCTGAGTCTCCAGCGCGTGACTAACCTCCACCAGAGTAAACAGATTGAGGCCCTAACGAACCAAACCTCCACTATCGAAGTAACTTCGGTACAGAATAGTGAATTGACTCCTCGACTAAAGTCGTCAATTCACTATCTTCAATCAAGGGTGCTCTATCAACCTAGGCAAATATTCTCTTTCTAGGTTAAAGCAGAAACAACGGGAATTTGATCAGGATTCATGCCATTCAACAAATCAGACCTCAATTGAATATAATCGTATCACTGAATTCGTACTTGGGTTCATACAATCAGACCTAACATACAAATCTAGGGTTCTTCATACCCAGGTGAATAAGAAAGTTACTCCATAGAGAGAGACAGGAAATCTAGCTCAGATGCAGAAACCATACTGTGAAGGATGAGAATCTGCTTCTGGCACTCAATCAGCTCTTCTCCAAGCTCAAGCCGGGCTCCAATGGTGATGAAGATCGATCAAAGACACTTGCAGAATCAGGTTGGTCACTTTCTCTCTCTAGGTATACGATTTGTCTCTCTAAAACTTGGAACCCTTCACTTTTGCCCTTCTTTTCCCTTAAGAAGTTGTCTGTCGCGATCCCCAGCCTGAATACCCGGTCGGATATTTCAGGCGAAGCCGGGAATTCTCAAAACGCACCGTGTGAGACAGGGGGTTAATCCCCGGTCTGGGTCAAGAATACCCGACCGGGGATAACTTCACGATCGGGCCCCCCTCTGCTTCTCAGACGCCCAAAAGGGGTTTTCCCCGTTCTGCTCCGATTAATAACCGGCCGGGTATTTCTGCCCATGGTCGGGTATTTTGATTCTCCAGCACACTTCAACCCAAACGTGCTCCTTTCGACCCGAAACTCGTTTCTTCGCCTCGATGCCAACGCTAAGCCCTGAAATATGACATAAACGCACAACCTAGCCTGAAATCGGGTTAAAACACGAGAATCAACATCTCAAACGGCTCAAGAATAGGGGTAAAAACATGTGCAATCAATGGTCTATCAATGTGCTGGTTTTTCCTTCGTCCATTAACCAACATTTAAAACATCTCAATCTATTTCTTGAAGTCACTCGACGTAACGGTCTGGATGTCTCTAAACCAAAACTTTGTCTTTTTCAAACTAAGATACGTTTTTTGGGTCACTACATTAGTCAAGGAACAATTTTTCCAATCGAAAGATCTCTTCAATTTGCAGATAAATTTCCCGATCAGATTTTAGATGAAAATCCATTACACGGTTCCTGGGTAGTTTAAACTATGTCCTTGATTTTTATCCCAACATCAATCTTCTTTGTAAACCTCTCCATGATAGATTGAAAAAGAGTCCCCCTCCCTGGAGTGACCAGCATACCAAAATAGTTCAGCAAATTAAGAGGCAGGTTCAGAGTCTCCCGTGCTTTCACATAAGTGATCAATTTCTCCCTAAAATCGTCGAAACCGATGCCTCTGACCTAGGATATGGAGGAATCCTTAAGTAGATTCAAAATGATAAGGAGTTCTTGGTACGCTTTACTTGTAAACATTGGAACCCTACCCAAATCAATTACTCAACTGTCAAAAAAGAACTGCTTGCTATTGTTTTATGCATCTCAAAATTTTAGCATTATTTGCTCAATCAAAAATTTTTACTACGCATTGATTCCCAATAAGCAAAATACATTTTGGAAAAAGATGTTCAAAATCTTGCTTCTAAACAAATATTTGCACGATGTGGTAGCACCCAGCTAGGGTGTTTGATCCTCAACCCCCGAATTTGAACAAACAAGCTCTGCAACTTGAACGAGAATCAAGCCGCCAACGTCAATCTAAAAGAACAACAATGGTGGAACTCTTGTGCAATCCTACACCTGGAGGAAGGCTCAAAAAGTATACGTCGAAGCTCGCCCACGATCAAGGTGGATTTTGATCGATACAAGAGCAAAATCGAACTTGGTTTTCTCGGCCAAGCTCTCAACCAAAAACTATAGCTACGAGACTTAGTTTTTAGGGTTTTCGTCTATTATTCAACTCAACCACCTGGTACAATACGTCCCCTAGGCCTTAAATAGAGAATACAATGAGTCTGGAAAGCAAAGAAACCAAAACAAATAAGGTAATCCAAAACAGTCCCAATTCTAATACAAAACGGAAACTTAAAATGCAAGTAACTAGCTGGTGTCAATGTCAACTTGGAGGCCCTCGTTCTCCATCCTCCTGCTTCCGATTGGATCACCCAATACCTTGTTTCTGTACTAGAAAATGCAAACTTTCATGTGGACTAAACGTTGAAGCCAGATTCCCAGCCATTCGTCGTGACCTAAGCTTCAAAGTGGCCTTCTCGAAACTGTTCCATGCCTTAGGCAAAAACTGGCAGTTTGCCTGTGTTGGGATAGACTTTTGATAAGCTCGAAAACCACTCTTCCCAGCATCAACTCGAGCTCCCCAACACTCCATGTTGCAAAGGGAGTTACCATCTTCAAACCAAACCTTCCAAACCCCATTTGAATCCATCCAATCGAGAGAATTATACTTGCTAAGAGGGCTACCCAAAACAGCTTCCATACTTAAGCAAAATCCCAGGTCTTTCCAGCAAGTTGAATTGGGTTCTTGACTCAACAATTTCCACTTGAAGATTGATCCGTTTGGGATCATATCACGATGGCAAGCCATCCTTAGCATTTTTTATTTCGACATACAATTTATAATTGGTTCTTCAAACTCTCTTCCAGACTTCCTTACTCGGGAATTTTTGTAGGGAGGACGAAGTGCGGAAAACTCTCAGGCTTGCAATCTTCAGTCATAATGCCCCATACCACTAGATTGCGAGATAAAGAGAAAATCAAAATCAAAACATGGAGAGAGATATTTGATGATGAACAAGGAAGCCCTGATCATTCAAGTGAGTATGAAGAAAGTTCTGATGATCCTGGTTCACACTTAGGTTCATCCAAAGCTTTAATCAATATTGATAAGCTTCCTCTTGAAGCCCAAAATGACCTTCAAAAATTTATTGTCGTCACTGAAGCTTCAACTTCCTCAACAATTTCCCTTTCTAAACTAATTCTTTCAAATACTCAAACGCCAAGGGGCATCCTACCCACACCCATCTCTTCCGAAGAAACCAAACAAATCTATCAGCAACATCATCTTGATGTTGCACCTACCTCAACAGAGGTGGCATCTTCGGTAGCCCCTCTCAAAACCGTTTTCCCCAAAACCCAAGAGGTGGTGGTTGTCCAAGCCCCTCAAAATCGATTTCCAACGTATTTTAAGAAAAACACTTTTAAAACCATTTTCGCTGTCGAAGATGGTTTCTACCATCAATATCCAAATGTTACTGCCAAACATTTCCTCAATGAGTGGTTCTTCAAACCAAGATCCCTCAACAAAACCCACAAATATTATGAACTTATCCTCACAGAAACTGGATCAGACACCTTTTCCCACAAATTTGATCCTTCAGACAAAACACTCAATACAATACCCACTCAACCTGCAAAATCCACCAAATTATCCACCCTCGCCAATGGCCTACTAGCGCAAACACCAACAAAAAATTCCCTACTACTATTGCTCTTAACCACCTGCAAATCTGCCAATCCTTCAATTACTGGGATTACCTTGAAGGTTGGATTAATGCATTCTTCAAGCAAAACCATATGTACCGACACTCCTGGAGTTTTTTCTGGGATTACAAAACTCCCATTATTTTCCCCAACTGGTTTATGCACTGGTGGGATCTTTTTGGGCCAACTGAAAATATCTATCCAGTTGAGATACTAGAGGGATATCAAACCTTCTGTTAAAAATATTCTGGTCCAGGATTACCCCTCCTCAAATTTTGTTACTACATTACCAAACCTGTGCCGTCACAAAGGTACCCATGTTAGGCCGCAGTTTCAAAACCAAATATTGGGCTGCAAATCCTATCCCAGAACAAGCCTACAAACCTCAAGTCCTCCAATGGTTCAATAACAATCCTGAACTGTCCAAAGTTATCGAAAAATCCTCAACGCAATTTTTGCAAACAAAATCCTCAATCAGCGCTCTCTTAGCTGCCGCCAAGACTGAAGAAGAATACTTCCAAATTCTTAAAGATGTGGCGTCTAGCTCAACATCTGACGTATATTCCACATTCCAAACCATGACCCGGATGAAGAAGTATTTGGTCATTTGCCAACAAAGAGCACTAAGTTGAAGACAAAGAATAAGTGACCACATTGCTTCTTCCACTATCATAAAGACAAAAAAGAAGTGACTCCACTTCCAACCCACTATCCTAAAGACAAAGAAGAAGTGACTCCACTTCCATCCCACTCAATTTGGTTATGGAAAGAAGACCACAAATTATCTATTTTTCTTTATATAAAAAATGTAATTTTGTTATGACATGTGACATAATCATATAAGTGTCCACATTGTCATCATTATGTTTTTCAATTTATTTACCAAAAGGGGACTGCATTTCTCTATAAAAGGAGACTCCCTTCACTTGTTGTAGTAGAGTTGTTTTGAGTGGGAATTGCTCTCTTGCAAAACTTCCTCCCATCATCTTCTCTCAAGAATTCCTGTGTAAGAAGTCTATCAAACTATCAAGTTTTACTTCATCTTTTTCAAATCATCTTCAACTTTTATTTATTACGTGCATAACTGGTCATCTTTGTTCAACGACCCATGGTTAGCTTGATGCATTGCAATGTAATTTATTACGATCAACTTTTTTCGACGACCAGTTACTGATGGTGGGAAAATGTAGTGTTTTTCTGATGGAGCAAGCTATCCCTCACAAATAATACCATTTCCGACGAAACATTTCTGACAATGCATACAGTTCGTAAAAACAACTCAATTATTCCCACGATCTTTTTTAAGACTCGAAAAAAGCATATATTACCGATAGCATTCTAAAACTTGTCAGTGATAATAATTATTTTCGACGCCATAGCATGTTTCGTTACAAATAATGACCCATGATTCCTCAAATTTTCCTAATTTATAATTTTCGACGAATTTTCTAATTATTTCTGCCACATGCATTTTTTCACAAATATTATCCTTTCTCCTTTCCAGCCGCCAGTCGTTATCTTCTTGCTCTACTTTTGGCCCAAGCTTCAAGGTATGATGATCAACTATTCATTATTTGTCATGTTTTCACATGTAAGTTTGATTCAGTATGTATGCTCTTTGTTTGTCTTGATAGCAATGGCGTCCCTACTTACACCACATACCAGAGAAAAGGAAGAAAACGATCACGTGAGCTCAATTACGATTCATGTTATGGGACAATCCAAGTACCACATCGGAAATACAAGAGAAGGAACCATTGTATATTAGTGTCAATCAAGCTCATTAGTACGATACCTTTGGGGACGATACCTAAAAAGTAAAACCGTGTGGGCTTGGCCCAAAGCGGACAATATCATACTAATAGAGCGAATCCGTGACTTCTCCTCTCCGAAATTCGTCATTTATCAAATAACTTAGAGTGAACACGCAGACACTTAAAGATCAAAATCAAACAATTACATAGTGTTTGGTATAAATGAATTCCATAAGTTTTTAGGAATTCATTTTGAAATGAAATCTTTTTGTGTATGGTATTTAAAAGAATTCATTCTCAATTCTAAATTTTGAATTCTACGGAATTGGAACTAGTTATAGCAATTCCGAGTAATTGTGATGGAATTTTCAAATGAATTCCACAAGTATTTACCAATTATGATAAAAAAGACATAATTATTCTCATTTATTAACAAAATTACTTCTACATATATTATTTGGCGCAAATTCATGTAGTATGAGGAACGTCGACAAGAATTTGATTGTAACGCTAATAGCATATACCAAACACATGAATTCATTTGACAATGAATTCTACACAGGAATTCCTTTTAAAACGAAATGAATTTTGGATTCATTTGGTACCAAACGGTCTGTTAGGCTCAATTATCGGCACATAATGAGACATAACCAGACGTCTCAAAATAGTGTGGTGGTGGAAGCTGTCAATTGCAACCTCGAAGTCAGCAATTCGAGTGTCGTGGCAACTTGGATTTTAATTTTACCCTTTATAAACGTTTTCTACCTTCTCTACTCTTACTTAATGAGAATCTCAATCTAGGTAGACATTTCACTATGTATAATTTCAGTTTCCGCTTTAGTTCCACTGTAGACTAAATTTAAAAGACTAAATTTAGACAAATGCTTTATTTTCTTTTGTGTTTAATTATTGGATTATCAACTAACCAAGTATGTCTGTCATGTGTGCTATGCGATCTTGCAAGAAAGTGTTACACTTTAGATTATTAGTCTTGTTTTTACTTTTTAGTCTCTACTACTAGTAGTGATGGTGAATTGACTTTTTATGTCATGCAATTACTCTTTAACTGTTTTGTACCTTCTCTACTTTTACTGAATGAGAACCTCAATATAGATACACATTTCAATATGCATAATTTCAGTTTTATGCTTTAGTTCCACTTTAGACTAAATTTAGACAAATACTTTATTTTCTTTTGTGTTTAATTATTGGATTATTAACTAACCTAGTATGTCCGTCATGTGTGCTATGCGATCTTGCAAGAAAGTGTTACCCTTTAAATTATTAATCTTCTTTTGACTCTCCTAGTCTCTACTGTTAGTGGTCAACATACTTTTACTGTCATGCAATTAGTGACTAAACTACGCAACAAATGAGTGATGATTTTCTTGCCGATGATCTTATATTTATATTGAACAAGATGTAAACGACACTTTTCACATAGATTGTCTTTGAGTGATGTGATTAATCTCAAAGATGTCGTGTACGTTTAAAATAATAAATTATATTTGATAATTTCTTATAATATTATTTTGTTTGAAAACAAATCACCCCCCCCCCCCCACCACCCCGGGACTTGAATTCCTGGCTTCGCCCTAGCTCGTGACGTTGTGTTTAGCTAAACAACACTATTTCCTAGTAATGCGGGGTCATTGAGTCTACAATTTCATACGATGTTGTTTTCCACTAAAACAAAATTGTTTCTTGTTACGCGACACCATTGACCATGGTCCAAAATAATTATTATAATTAAAATTAATTAGATTTGCTTCCTTAAATGACGAGACGCATTAACGCGGTATTGAATTCATGCCAAAATAATTTTAGGTGTCTACAAACTATATGTTGATGGACTCCCAAGCTTATACTCACTGGCAAATCTGGGCTACCAAGCTTACGCTTTTCATTGTTTCGCAGGTCAGTCGAGTACAAACTAACCCCAGTCGAGTCACCCTATTCGCACCAGATTCTTCTAAATTATGGCACTAAACATTTGGCCTGGTTCTTTCAAAAGTTCTTGCCCCAAACATAGACATTGTTAATTTGAGCGATTAATTTCTTCATCGGTGTTTTACGCCGCATTTGGCTTTATAGTTGCTTTCGATAGTGATCTGCTTCCTAAACACTTGTAAATTGCTGAAGGATGGATGTGACGATCTAGCCCAAGCTTAGTGTTGCATAGTGAAAATTTATTGGTCAGTGTTTTGAGCAGTGTTATTAAAGTCGAGCCGCTCGGCCCGACCTGTAAAACCACTACCCGGTTATAAAACCGACTCGGAACAGTCTAAAAATCGCTCCGGTTTTATGTCGCGTTTGACGAGCGGCCGTGGCGGTTTACTGCTCGAGCCGCTCGTCCGGTTTTTGCCATTCAGCCGTTAAATTTAATTAAAAAAATTGCAGAAAATTGAAAATTGAAATAAACCAAAAACGTCGGGCTCTTAAACTGAATTTTTATTTCCATTTCACAATTTGAAGGAAAGAGACGAGCTCTGATTAAGAAATGTCCACTATTTATATTGATAACATTTATTAGGTACCGGTTCTCTAACGGTTTTTAAACGGTCTAATATCGATTGAACCACTACAGTGCGAGCCGTTAGCATTACTGGGTCATGCTCCGGTTCGGTTCTGGTTTTGAGTGCATTGTTCACAACTCACAACACAATCTGACGGGCCATGGAGATACAACACGAGAAGAAATGGGCCCCGCGCATAGCCTTTGGCATCGGACATACGGGGAGGGCAAGGTTAGTGACGCAGAGCTGCTTGCTTTGGCTCTCATAGTGCAATCGATGGCCTCGGTCCATTTTCTGGGCCCATTCCCAAAGGCCCAAAAGCGAGCCGACGGAAAATAAATAAACGACGACCAGGCTAGGGGTAGACAAGACAAGTCACTTTCGTTTTCGGGTTAGGGATGGGGTTGGGACTTGGGAGAAGGATTTATCTACTATACTTATAATACACCGAAGGGGAAAACAGCTTCCCCATTTCAAATTTCCTGCAACGAGAGTGAAAGTAGGAAGGACATTTTGGTCTTCACAATAACTTTTTTTTATTCATTAAAAAGACATGTACTAGGATTCGAACCATGACCATTTTATAGAAAAGCAAGGATCATAACCAATCACACTAAGTAGATTTGTTGTATCTTTTTAAATTAAAAACATATAATAGCAGGGAGGAAAAAAATCTTCCCCCATTTCAAATTCCCTGCTCCAGGAGCGTTTGTAGGAAGGGTAGAATAGGGAGTGTCAATTTTTTTCTCTTTTCTCTGTGGAACGGGCCAACTTACCGTACACATGCGGATTTAAACGGGTCCAAGAGTGTCAATTTTTTTCTTTAATCCCTTTTATTTCTCCGTGGTGATAAAATATATATGAAAAGGAAAAAATAATACTCCTTTTATTGTTAAAAATAAAAAATTTAACAATAAACTAATGAATGGTATCTAATGGCTAACCGCTAACCATAAAATAAAAGAGTTGAATGGGTCTGACCTACACGGGATTTGGCCATCAAGTAAAACAAATGAACATAATTGGTTTGTCATTCTAAAACAAGCTATTTTCTCTGGCATAATATATATTATGCTATTATTTTATATCTTAGTGGCTAAAATATAATGTATTTTAAAGTTATTCAATGGTTCAACCTCGACCAACCCAATTAGTCCAATTTTTATCATTTCAAATATATATTATATAATTATTTGATATCATAATGATCAAATTATAGTGTATTTTATAGGGAATCGTTTGATATTTGTTAGTAAAAAACTAAACTGAAAGATCTATTTGGTTATTTTAAACATTAAAACGATCCTAAACATTTTCAGTTCCTTTTGAATTTCTATGGTTTTATTCCCGAATAAGTGATGTGCAAATGGCGAATTGCAGTCATCTCTTTTCTTTCACTATTTTTTATTTTCAAATAGAAAGTTTAAAATTAAAGAATAATTAGGATTTTTGCCCGTTTGTTTTATGCATTGCAAATTTATTAGCATGTTGATGGAAATGGCTTGGAAAAAAGACATATAAGTTGTACCTTTGCAGAAATGTCCTCAAATGTTTGAATGCTTTGCGAATCAGGTTCCATGACTTTTGTGATGGTGTATGTGCTTGACGATTGCTCGATGTTGTAACTACTTAATTTGAGAGTAAATCTTTTTATTTTCCCTATGAGGTGTGATACCAGTTCTGGTGGTTGCAGCAGGTTGTCGTTGTTGGCCTGTAAAAGTTTTTCCGTCGTGATGCTAAATACCTTTCTTTCCTTTTTAACAAATTGTGTAGTAGTGCTATGAAACAGACCACCCATGAACGCTACGCTTATTATGGTCTATTCTTACTTCCGGTGGTGAGAAATTGTGAATTGAGAATCATATTCGCCTACCGCACTGTGTCTGGCTGGTGGCTGCTTACTGTGCTCTCTAGAGTTATGAAATAGACTACCCATGAACGTTTACTTAAGAGTCCATAACTTTGCGAAAAACCAAATTTAGGCAATCAAAGGTGGTGGATGTGTGATGATTTTTTATGGCTTAATTGTTTGTGAATTGGATATCTGATCTTTGTATGATTAGAGGGGATGTTTTCTTAATAGAATAATCCATTTTAATTCATGTTTATTTTTAACATGAACTTTAGTAACTCAAAACCTTCGAGACACATATCACCTATTGCATTGTATCATTTTGCCTGGGTGCTTGTTGTGTTGTCAAACTTCTTTGTTGCTGCTACATTTACACTAACAAGGGAGTTAAGAACCCATGAATGTTTTCGTTTGACACAAACATGAGGACTTGCTTCTAAATCGTGCACTAAAGATGATTGGAGGAAACATCTCTGATGCAGTTGATATACTGGAGACCAGAACAAAAGCAACGTATAACATCAAAACCAACCATCTGAACTATTAGCATTGTTGCTTTACTCTTTTTTTTGTGGTTGAGTCTCCTTAAAAAAATTTAGTTTGATTTTAGAAAATTTTGCTTCTGCAGTCCTATCTTGCCACCAACGTGTTCAGTAGATGGAGATGGCGGAGGCGAAGGCTATTTTTGTGTTGTTGTTTCTGGTTTAGGGATCGGTTTGTGAAGAAGAGGGAGAAGAGAGGGGGGAAAGGGAAATGCAGGAGAGGGGGATAACTCTTTTCTCCGACAAAAATGGAGTGAAGAAAGGAATTATGATCAATAAGGATATGGTTATCTTACATAACAGTATCTATTCCGTTTGAATTGAGCTTGGGAGGCAGTGATAAGGACGAGCTGCAACCAATTCATAGTGAGAAGAGAGCTATGAACTATAATCATGTCTTATTTCAAGTTAGAAGGTAGTTTCAGTATAAGGATTATTTAAATTGACAAGTTGTTTCGTCCATGATTCTTGGTAGTTTCAGTGCCATTCTAGCCATTGTTTAGTCTGTAATTTTTTAGAATTGATGTGCGAGTAATGACTTTCACTTAGCTTCAACTATTATGTGTGTATTTATTGGCATGTGATATAATTCTCTTTTCCTTTTCTTTGAATTAAGTTTCATACTCTAATTGTATCATTTGTACATAGGCAAATCATGCTCGAGATGACAACTCGCTGATATGGCTGGTGCAAGAAATGAAGCCATCAGTAGAATTCAGACCGACAACGGGGAGGGATGCCCAGGACTAATTCAATGATGATTGATGATGGTATAATAAAAACTGCAGTCTGATCAGCACCAATTTCTAGGCCTAAGTAAAGTTATTCAACCAAGAACTCTGTTTAGCGCTAAAAATTGCCCTCACCCAACTTTGATCCTGTTTGACCCACTTCTAAAGAGTCAAGATATATGACTAATCCTCTTCGTTCGTATTTTCTTATTGACTCTTTCTGACTCTTTAAGTTGGGGCGGGTCGGGAAGAATCGGATTAGTGGGTCGATCCTAATTAAGTGGAATCACAATCCCTTCACTCTCACTTGCTTTCTCTCCCATTCCACAAGTGAGAAACATACAGTAATCCGGCCAACGGCCCGGGTAATAAGCTAGTAATTATATATATATGCTCATTCCTTCATAGATCTCATCTGAGCGAGCGAGCGAGTTTCGGCGGAGGAGGGGAATATTTTGTTGTTGTTGTTATATCCGGTCGGTCGGTGAGCATGGCTCATATGTTGTTGTTGGGGTCGCTACAGGTCATTTTGGGGTGCAAGCAGTCTGTCTCTCAACTTCGCGCGAGGAGTCCTAGCGCGGGCGGGTGGGGATCCAGCTACAAACATTGGATTAATCTCCCTTGGAACTGCTTCCCCTTGTATCCCGGCGTCGCAGGTTTCGCCGGCGAGCCTCTAGGTTGGTTGATTTGTTTGTTTTAGTTAATAATAATAATCTCCTTCTCCCTTATATGATGTTTGTAGATAGTAGGATAGGCGAAGAATGATTTGTGCTTGTCGATCGAATGGGCCTTCTTTCTTTTGCTGCTGCTTTCACGAAATTACATATATATATTATTATCATTACGGATTGCATATATAGATTCTCCAAGCCAGCATTATCTTGTTGCAAATGCTGCTGCTGTCGGTCGGCTTTTGGAGAATGGAGACAGAGCCTACCGTGCTGGAGGCGTCAATCCACACTTCTACTATACCAACCACTCATCCGCCGAAGAATTCGAGGTGCTAATTTCTTTCTTTCTTTCTATCTCTCTATATGCCATATAGATTTCAACATCTTGCTAAATATCCCATGCTTAATTTTACCATTGTTAATTCTTCACTTCTCGATCTGTTTGCCTTTTCTCATCAGCCAGCTTACTCGTAATTTTTTTTTTTTTTACCTTTTCCCCCTCTAGGCTTCTGATTTCGCAGAATTTGAGGATACTGCTGGTTTTGCTGTCATGTGGGTCAACCATTGCTTAACCTTTTGCCCTCTTGAGGATTTCGGAGGTATGAAATTGAACACACTTTGTGCTCTGTTAAATTCCAATCTTCAACATCGATCCTTTTCACCTTAATTTACTCGATGGGCTTGTATGTAGCTAACTATATCCAATTATTCTTCTTTCAGCTACTATTCTCCCTGAACCTGTGCTTCCCGTCAACAAATCGGACTTGCAGATTCCTTTTGCTGCTTGGCAAAAGCTATATCAGTCGGTATAAATCTGACTAGCTAGTATTGTTCTTGTAGTAGATTGATTGCCCCAGCCAATTCTGTTGCTCAATACTGCGACTAGCTTGATCGATCGAGAGTTTCGATTATGTTCTGCACTTCTTTATTACTTCATTGTGTGTTTGTGCATGCAGTGTCTCAAGAAAGAAGAGGAGGGAGTAGCTGCAAAGTGCGAGTACTTCAGGTGTAAAGTACACGACGGCATAGTTGGCGTGAACAAGGAATAAGATGATGCATGGTTCCTTAAGCTGTAGAACGAACAAGCACTGTTCAAATGTGTTGTGGATACTACTTAAATTAGACGATGTGGAGTAGACCTTATGAAATGATTTTCACTCTCATTCTTACTTAGAGAGAGGAGTAACAAGCAGAAAGGCGAGGATAGATAGATAGAGACCTTAGCTAGCTTGTTCGTTGGGATGCAAATTGAATTTCAGGTATTGTGCTATATATACTTGATCATTTGTTGCAAGCCAAGCTATAAGTTATTTTTCTCATTCTGTAATTAGTCATCTCGTATAGTTTCTTCATCTTCAAGATAATTGAAGAAGGGCTAAATTAGCTCTCCAGATTTTATCTTGTCAAAGATTTGCAAATGGGTGATTGACTGAGTCGCTAGCTGTAACTACAACTTCTTAGTCGAAGGTCTAGTTTAATCGACGGCTGCGTGCAGAATATGGTAACTAAGCGAGTAATAAAATTATCGACCAAGTGTTATTACGCTTACTAGTCGGCCAACAACTAGCTTACCTTCTGGTTGTCAACAAATGTATGGTAATTTGCATACTTGCATTCCTCTTGATGATGGTTCCTGCAGCTTTCCCCATTGTCACAACTCACACTTCTATTACTACCTTCATGTGTCACATAATAAATGCTCCATCTACAACCCACACCACGATGACCAGAAATTGAAAGCTACACACTGTTCCAGATCAAAACTATCATGATCTAGTTGCAAAGCATGGCCCGTTACACTTCCCTTCATAACCACATTGATGAATATTTGACAATTCTAGTAGTGTTTTCCCCGTATTATAAATACACACAAGCACCTCTTCCTAGCTAGGGTACCACTTCCATCAAACAGGCAGGCTTAAAAGAGAACAAACCAAATCCCTCCCACTCGAAAATAATAATGTCGTCCATCCAAAATCCCCAGTTAGCTACATCCCTCCTCTGTGTGTACATATTTTTGGATATTATTATTGTTTAATTATCTTAGTAGGATTTGGATTGTTTTCTATTATGTTTAGGATTTGGTTATCGTTTTCTTGTGGGAGTAGTATTCATATTTTGGGTAGGGGAGAGGAGGTGTTCTATGCCTATAAATATGTACCCACTCTTTCCTTTAATAATATGAGAATATTGGAACTCAACTCTTGAGTTTTGCTTCGTTCTAGCCCTATTCTCTTCGTCCTAAGTCTATTTCTTTAGTTTATCATTCGATTCTTGTGAGACACGTTGCGTGGGAGGTTCTATCTAAAAAATCCACGTAACAATTGATATCATAGTCTGGTTCTGCACAGCAACGGAATCCAAGTTAATTAACTAGTTTCATCATCACACGTCGTCCGGCTCTATGCATCTCGTCATTTCGGCCTTCGAGCCACCATGAAATAAACCCTACAACTTCAGGGAACGAAGATATGATGAGATTCATCACAATCAACATCCAGGATATTCTATCCACCAGCAGCCGCATCCCTACTACTCGCCGTATCTGCCGCATCCATACAATTACTACAACCCTTAAAATCGCCATGACTTGATGGAAAATCGGGGCTTCGTCGCTATGATAGATGTCTAATCTACTTCTACGATAAACTATAGAGAAAACTAATAACTTTAGGGTTTATTCTTCGCATAATACGACATAATGGCATAACCGACTCATGGCAATTAAGTAAATAATAATAATATGCTAAGTTACGTGTATCATACACGCATCAATATCCTCCCCTTCAAGCATAACCTTGTCCCCAAGGTTACTCTGACATCAACCGAAAAATCACCGACCATCAAAAATAAATCTTGGCCTGCATAACGATGATCGATCGTGAATCGCTCATCACAGTTGAAGCACAGGTCGTCCCTCCGCCGCCTTGCGATCTCTGCTGGGGTACGCTTGATAGTTTCGAACGGAACATTGGGTGGTGCCCCTGCTGGCGTTGCCACGTTCCCGGTTGTCGGTGCGTCCAATCCAAGTCGCATATCTTCTAGTTCCACCTCCCTGCCCCTTGCCAACCTAAACACCTCTCCCAATGATTGAGGTTGGAACTGACGAACCCCACTAGCGATTGTTGGCTTCAAACCCTCTAAATAAGCATTGATCAAGGTACTAACAGGCCACCCCTGCAACGATATGCCAGCTTCTCGAACTCAAGCCTATGCTCATCAACTGATCCTGTCTGCCTAAGCTGCATAAGGTTCTCTTCGCTCGTGCCCCTGATAGTCGGTTCGAATCTAGACCACAACTCTTCCTTGAAACGCTACCACACGTCACCGCTTCCCCAGAAGCAGCAATTGTATACTCCAACCACTGCCAACACTGCCCCGTGTCACCTTCTAAGTAGAATGCAGCCTATGAAACTGTTTGATCCTCCGGTATCCCTTGATACTTAAAGAATCTTTCAGCTCAAGAGATCCAAACTGTTGCATTCTCCTGACCTTGAAAACTTCTTGAAACCCAACCAAAGGTCTATCCCCACCCGGTATAACCTGCTGTCCAAAATGAAGTGGTTCTGTCAGAGTTTGATCCAACCGATTTGCTTACCAGACCGGACCAACACCTTTCAAACTAGGCCAGTCCGACCCAATCTGTGATTATAAAAAATGCATTTAATATTATTTGTTTATTTTTCCTCCAATCTTCCTTTTCTGCGCTGCTAGCTTCGGCCATGGAAGAGAGAGAAACGCAGCGGCGGGGAGAAAAAGACAGCGATGGTGGAAGCGAGGGGGGCGACGACGACAATGGAGAGAGATGGAGATCTCGACGACGACGGCGGTGACGACGGAGAGAGGGAAAGGAGATCGCGATAGAGGCGGCAGCGGAGAGAGAGAAAGTAGATATGTCATCGTCGGGAAAACAAAGGAGAGAGAGAGACGATGGTGGAGGAGAGAGAGGCGGTGCGGCGATGGAGAGAGAGAGGTGGCGACGACAATAGAGAGAGTCAGCTTCGGCCGCGACGACGGATCTCTCGACATCGTAGTCGTCCGAGGGAAGAACAATGATTTATAATGCAAGTGTTGTCAGTTTGTATTGTTAGTATTTTTGTACATAATGTCAGTATGATTTGTATAGTTTGTATGTTTTGTAATATTAATTTGTATACTTTATATGTATTGATTTGTGATGCAAGTCATGTCGGTTTGTATTGTAAGTACTAATACTTTGTACTCTTAGTATGTTTTTGGTACTTTGTATAATATCAACTATTACAACCTAGATGAACAAACATTACAAACTAGACAAACAAACATTACAAAGTCAACCAGGTTATTTTTTAGGCATAAAAAACATTACAAACATAGTTGACAAAAATGATAAACATGGTGGACAATAGTAACAAAGTTTACAAACATTACAAAAGAACTCGACAAACATTACAAAATAACAAAACTTACAAACATTACAAAAGAAACCGACAAATAGTACAAAGCATACTCTCTCTTCTCTCTCTCTCTCACTTTGGAGGGGAAACATTTGGGCCAAAAAATGCTACCAGAGCCTGCGGGAGAATTTCCCTGGATCGGCGTGCGGGCGGGAGGGAGGGCGGATGATTATTTTTTATTTTAATTTTTAAATAAATAAATTATGTAATACCACATTATCCTTCATTAAAGTAGATTAATTTGAACCATAAGATTTTAATGAAGCTCAATGGTTGAGATTGACTTAGTGATGTGACTAAGAGACCCCGCTTAATCACTTGATCTTAGCCCTACTCGCTAGCCCTTCTTTATACAATATTTGACGATTTACAAATTCCTTTTTCTTCTTTTTTTTTTAAATCTTTTTAGTTACTTTTGTAATTAATAATTAATATATCCTTTCCCATGTGGCCACTTCTGTTGTTCGTGATTTTCTTGATTTATCTTCTTCCTCCACCGCTGCTTTTGTTTTCTATCAAGTCCCTTCTGGAAGCTCCCTCCCCACTGCATTCACACTTTAAAGAAACATCAAAGAATCACAATTAATTGAGCTCAAAATTGCAGTGACGCCTTCCTCGCATTCTAGATCTTATTCTCTGAGATCTTTGTACTCGACTCTACCTTCTCTGAGCTCTTTGCTTTTCCCTGATTCCGATGGAAAACCTACGCTTCTCAAAACCTACGTTTCTTGAGAACCTCATTCGAAAGAGGAGATCTAGTTTAGAACGTCTTGATCGGTTGTTCAAGAAAAGGATACGTCCCTCTAGGCAATCGACTTAAGAGGGCCTGGATTTCCTTAGTCGAGATTCAAGATCTAGTCAAGGATTCTTCGCATTATCAATGAAAGTGAAACAGGTTAGAGATTATCAACTATTAATCTGGCTAGTGGCTAGGGGGAATCATACCTAAGTGAGTTCCCAACCTGTAAATAGTAGTCTAACCTAGAGTAGCTTGTAGGAGTAGTTTAGTTAATCAAACCTTAATCTGATTTGCTAAATAACAAGTCGAAGCTGAGTAATAGTAAATCTAGAGACCTCATGGATTCGATATTTATCACTTGCACAACTATACTGCAAACCCTTTCATTGGTTACACTGGCCATTGTTAGGATTTGTGTTTTAGCGAGTTATTGTCTCAGGGTTCAACTGACTGGTGGCTGCAACTCTCTTATGGTGATTTTCCAACTCTGTGACGGCTTGGTGCTTGCTTTTTTTTCGGTGGAGAAAAGAAGAGGAGATGGAGAAAACAAGGGGTACTATGAGAGAAAGGGATAGGAAGAAATGATATCCTTTAATTTTTAATTTTTCCTTACAAAGTTTTAATGGCTCACTTGACATAAAATGATTGGGTCGGTGCACTAGGGGGTTGGATAGTGTAACCTTCAGATCAATAATCCTGCATAGCGCAACCACCAGGCGCCACATCAGCACCCCATGCCACTTATGGAATGCCTCTAACCTTTTTTTCCCCTTAAGTTTTAACTGAAGATTTCTCTCTCGTTTTAAGTTGGAATTTTTTCCCACGGATATATCAGATTAATTGTGCTCTCCAAAATGATATCCACTTCTATATATTTTTGGAACAAAGAAATTGAGACATTTATTCTCGGTCTATACCATATGGTATGAACATACGAGACTGTTAGATGGTTGAATACATAATAGTAGGGAATATAC